ACTCTTCCAGTATGTTTGAATTACTTCATTCTGGAGTTTTTCCTACTTATAAAAGACATCTTGGCTTTCAACGCTGGCTCCCGTAACATCCGCATGGACAAAGTGATGAAGCACGGGCTAGATAAATGGACAGCGAGGTGGATTCAGTTCCAGAATGACAAAAGCAGCTTGTGCAAATGCAAGGGAGGTTTATGCCACAGTGTCTGCAAGTTACAAGAACTTGGAGACCAACAATCCATTTTGCAGAAGACAGACAGGCACTAGACGAACGTCTTGATTTCTTACAACCATAGCCAGATTCAAATTGTCGGCCTAGAGAACTGAGGCAGCCCCCGAAGCATCACGAACTACCTGTCTGATATCCACTGTTCACTAGCAATGATAAAACGCTAGAGCTAATACAACAATCCGCAATGTTACCAACTGACCCGAGTTTCAACTTCTCTTCTCGTCCTCCTGTTTCTATGATATAATAGAACTCACTTACCAGTCAACAGCATTATAATTAAATAATCAAAAAGCAAATAAATTTCACATTTGACAGTCCCCAGGAGAAAATTGATACACATTAGCAAAAGATTTTCAGTTTACTCAGTGCCACTCTGATAACAACAAGCTTAGAGGGATATAATTAGTACCCTGCAAGCCAGCATATGAAAGAGCTTAATTTAACTGAGATCAGGACTAAATAGCTATAGAAATTATAAGTGAAGCCACAAATCCACATGGGGCTACCATAGCTAAGCATTTTTATGATCAGGCATTCTAAAGGCATAATTCACATGTACTGCCTTCTAATTTCTGCTCATCTGGAAGGATTTGTGTTATCTGCGACCCCCTGAAACTGCTGAGATTAATCTGAGGAGGTCAACCCGGGGTCTTCAGCAGCTCTCAGTAGTGAGCAGGAAGAGGCAGACAATGCTGGGCAGGTTAAGTCTTATTCTCCAACAATATTCTGAGTTGACGCCTCCCTCTTCAACGCTCTTCTGCACACTAAATCCCTGAATTTTTTTTTAAATGCTCATGGTCAGGAGAGGAAAGTCCTTATATCACAGACTGCCCAACTGAGTTTGTGGGGAAAAGCACAAGCTATTCTGGCGGTCTTACTGGGAATGTTATGTTGATATTAGAGACTACTCTTAGAGAAAGCAGAAACAACCCCATAACGTTAGCCCATTGAGAACAATGGCAGATGATGGAAAGTGTAGTTTCTTTTAAGCTAACCCATCCCAGATTGCAAAGACACTGTCTACTATGGGGTAGCCCCACAGGTAAAGGAAGAGCCAAATGTCAGAAAAGACACTGCAGGTGACAACATGGTCTGCAGCTCAAGGCAAACTGAATGTTACTACAGTACCACATCAGACTGATCACCTAGCTAGCCCTTCCCAGAACAAGGCGGTTCATGTAGAATCCAGCACTAACTTCAGCTGAAATAAGAGATTTTGATTGTTTACGTTATACTACAGTCATGCAAAGAAAACCCGGACAGCAAGTTGTACCAGCACATTCCAATTTTTCAAACAGAAAGCAAAAGTAACATTTCAAAAAACATGAATATGGAAACTTTTGCTGCTTGCTATTAAGATTTACTGTCATCAGGACAGCCTTTTTCGGTTGAAAAATGGTTATTGCTAAAGGTCACAGAATTGTCTCTTGAACAAATTAAGAAATAAATGGCTGTTGACACTTCCAGGTGATGATCCATCTGAGAGCTCCAACAACGCAGAGCAACGCAGCTGCCTTTCAGGTATGCTGCAGATCGCTGCAGCCACCAACTAACCTAGAAATCTGCGTCTTCACTCCTGTATCACTGTATCAGCTGACTCTTCAACCCTCTTCATAACTACACCAAAAATTGTTTACTCTCAAGCTTGAAGGCAGATGAAAGTAACATCTGGCAGGGAAAAAACACACACTACTGCTGAGTGCAGTAGCCAGGTTTCCATATTTCTTATTTCTATTAATAACATCCTCTTTACTTTCTGTGAAATAAAGACTCTCCAAGAATGAGAACTAATTAGATACACCCAGAAAGAGACTGAGGGACCGGCACTAATATCACCGCCTATAGAAACTAGCACAATAGCAGAATAAGAGAGCAACACTAACACGAGGACCTCAAGGATATCTAGGAAAAAAAATCCTAGCAGGAGGGATATAGTCTGCTTGCCAGGGATAGCCACATTTTTGAAGATGCACTTTTAATAACTCTTTAAAAGATTTTAGAGGTTCGTTTAGACAACCTTCAAATGAAAGGTCACCATGAGGTACAAGCAGAGTATATCGGATATTTTATCTTGTCAGGGTACTCTTGATAAAACAACGAATAATAGATTTTTAGTGTGCAATTATCCTTTTCATCTTTTACTTTTCAGTCTGAGTTTATGACGACTGTTTACTGATCTCTTTGGGGAAGACACTGACATTTACTCTTGTTACTGTGCCTCTCCGATCTCAAATGGGGCCTCCAGCTATCACTATGTACAGCAGTGGCTCTGTAATTTCAGAAGAAAGATGCTGTAACAAATCTGTGGGACTACCATGCGAAACAAATGTGGCACTCCACCTGGCAGCCTTAACGCTGAGGACTAATCACTTATGATTTTCAAAGAAAACCAAGAGACCGCTCCACAATCTATTAACTGCTCACTGTTTCTGCAGAACGGTGGTGATGATCATCAACTCAGACACTGGGTCTTCAGTTTCTGCCCAACTTAATCACGAGATAAACATATAACTAGAGCAGCAGTCTAACAGAGTCCAAATCCAAAAATATTGGCCTTTTCAGACATATAACATGAGAAGTAAAATCTTAGCTGGAGCCTTTGCTCCTTCCCACAGTTCATTTTCAGTTCCTGTTAAGTCTTCAGCTCTCAGCTCTTGAGTTATTTATTTTAAGTACATACAATTGATAAATTGAAAGCAATTTTCTAACCAACAGTCTTTCAAATCAACATCACATGTTTAGTACTTTTCATGCTCTTGCCTCCTGGAGACTAGTGATCTATCTATTCAGACTTGGAGGTATGTGGAAATCAACTCCAGAGTGCCTAAGGAAGATTATTGACTGCTGGAAATGCAGAAGCAGCCAGCGGGAAACACCGCTCTGCAGATACATGACTGACAGCAGGGAAGGGAAAACGTTTCATCCTAACCAGTAATTGTCCCAACATGCATAGATCAACTAAGCTAGCAGGAAAACACTGGTTTCTGAAAAAGGTTATTATCACACTGTGTGTCTGTCTGTTGTTCTGCTCCCTTGACGATTCAGCTCACTGTCCAATACCAGTAGTCTTTTATATCCATTTATAAATATACACTGCATTCCAATTAATCTCAGATGCTTCTTGCAGCCTTTGCATGAAAGACAGATGACCAACGGAGAGAATTTGCATCTTATCAGAGGCAGGTGGACCAGAGCGAGAGCGAGCTGGATGAACAGCACGTGAACAGACTGATGGGGAGCACAGGTGGGAGAGCCAGGGAAGTGCTCTCTTTGGCCTAGTCAGAGGGGCACAGCAAGGAGAACAAGGAAAACAGATCCACAGGAAACCAGTTCTCATTACTTCCACTTCTCCCATAAAAAAAACAAAAAACCACACTTATTTGCACAATTCAGCTCTTGTTACAGCACGAGCTTGTCTAATTTGCTTCTAGGCTGAGCGGCAATAAAGAGACCCTGCTGGGAGGGTGTTTCCCCCCCCGCAAACCGCAGCTTAGTCTCAGAATTCTCTAAAGAAATACCTATTTCATATAACTGATTGATTTGTTCAAATCAGCATCCCTTGCCTGCAAACTAACAAGAGATGTACTTTAGAACAAATACTATAGCTGTTGGGCAATGCTTATCTGAAAGCTGATATGGGTCAGAACACCAAATACTCACTACCTTGTTTCCAAGCTCATTGTATGAGTTTCAGAATCAATCATAGCTACTACTTCCTATGAGTCAGTTTTTTGGAGATGTATCCTTTAGTATCCTTGTAGAGAGTACTTTTCCCACTTGTGCAATCTCATCTGGTAGGACTTGAACTCTGCAGCTCATAATAAGAGAGATAAATATTCATAGTAATTATAATGGAGGAAAACATTAGACTTGCTAGATCCAATTATAAACCCTTAAAGTCACTGTACCCTCTTCAATACAGGATAACACCACCTGCTCCACAGACTTTCAAATTCCATGTGATCTTTCTAACTACGCAGTCTCTATAGGATGAAGGAGCTCCTTCATTTGATTACCTTTTTGCACCATAAAAAGGGTGCAAACTGCATATGTTTTATCTCAAGATGCAAATTAAGCTGTAGCTTAATTTATAAACACAGAGCACATACATGGTTCGGAGAATAAGATCTCTTGCCATTCTGCTACAGTGTAAGTAAATTCAGCAGCTACATCTACAAGCTGCTGCTGTAACTACATGTGTTTGTGATGCATTATGCCAGCTACTACATGTCTTCACTCTTAAGCCCAATTCCGAATGATTACTTCTTGCTCGAGACTATACTCTCATACTTGAGACTTGCTTGAGACTACACTTTTGTACTTCACTGCAAGTCAGCAAGGGAGAGCAGTCAAAACTTTTCACATTACAGATTTTCAGGAGCAGAAAAATCGGGAGAAAAGCAAGCCAAAGCATAAGTCGTCCAGGGTGGAAGACTTTTTTCAAGGCTGGTTTTATAATTTTCTGTGTCTAGAAGAAAATGCAAGATGTAAGGAGTGAAGTATTATGATACCAAATGTCAAACACCTAACCTTGATCAACTGGCTACACAAGCTCTTTAATAGAATATTAAAGCCAGTTATCCTGTTTATCTACATTGTTCAAAAGGCAGCATCACTGATGCCATCAGCAGCTAAAATAATACAAACTGAATATGGAATGTGTTCTTTTTTGTGAGACTTTGGTTTTTCAAAGATTCCTTATATACATATTTGCAAGTTCTTTGATCACTCAGATAACATAGGTAGAGATGTTACATACAAGTTATCATACCTCTGTCACTGAAGTCATCCACCAGCACTATCTCTGCTATCAGCTCAGGAGGGGAGCGGTTTAAGACACTGTGCACTGTCCGGAGGAGAGAGGACCATCCTTCATTGTGGAACGGTATTATCACACTAGTGTTTGGAAGTTTCTCCAGGTACAGTTTATTCTTGCAGCTAGACATAGACAGAATAAGGTCAACGGTGGTGCCGAAAAACACTTGCGATTCCATACTAATTACCATCAAGTAACCCATCCTCTATGACTCAAACTGATGCACGGTACCTGAAAAGAAACTTGTTAAGATAGCATTAGCCTGGCCTATCTCACCAGACCAAAAAAAAAAAAAAAAAAAAAATCAATTCTGTACAAAACAAGGCCAGTTAATTGCCAGCAAGTAACACTTCACATCACAAAGTTATTAGAAGGATCTATCATGTGCTGAAGCTGCTTTCAGAGGAAGTGCCAATTACAGCTCAAGATGCAGAAGCCTGAACTACTTGTTCTTCTAAGATTTTATCCTTAGTGCTCAAAGATCACTAGGAAGAAGAATTTCTATGAATAAAGTGGTTTCAAAAGCTGATGTCTCACTTCTATTCTAGGCACTATTGAGACAACGATCTAGCTCACTTATTCGCAGTTTTCAGAGAAGCCAATCACTCTAATCTCGTGTATAACATTCATCCAGTGTTTTTTAAACAGATATGCAAAGAAAGTAGGATTTTGTGCAAGAGATGCGTGGTGAACAAGAGATGGAGGAGACAGGATAACCTCATGGTAAAACAACAGCAACACAACACAACAAAAACAGCTCAATAAAAAACCCAGCCCCCTTAGTAAGCAGATGAACCCCCAACATCTGTAACAGACTTCCTTTGTCACGCTGGACAAGTTAATCAAAACAAACTTTTCCCAAATAACCAGTTATTTTCCTCATTTTTCAGTGGGTCTAATTTGATACCACGGACCAGCTCTGTAGGCTGGAGTCAGGAAAGCTGGGCTCTGAAGACAAAGCACTGCATAACTTGGATAACACTGAAGAATCAGGTCTGCAGGGTCCCCTTATGGATCCCTTGAGTTTGTGGGTGTTTCCCCAGTCCGTTAATCTCTCCTTAATCGTGAAACGGAGCTAACATCCCCTTGCCTTGTGGGAGCATCTGTTCAAAGCCTTATGAACAAATATTCAAACTACTGCAATAACCGCAGTGTTTATTTTCCTGTAGGTGTGACTTTCAGAGTGGAGTTTGAATGTTGTTAAACAGGTAAGATTTTAGGCCACACAATGAACAACCGCAGTTAAAAAAAATACCCAGGAGCTGTTAACTAGGGACAGACGTCTATTATATTCACAGTACCCCCTGCAACACAGGCGGAGGCGATCAGGTGAGTACAGACTTTCAGAACACGTTAAAGGCCAGCACCCCCAGCAGGGCAGGCTACGTGCTTTAAACGGGTAGGCGAAGGAGGTCACGCTCCAGTCACTTCCCAGCCCCAAGACCAGATGCATTGCATAGCACGCACTAGGGATGATTTGCAGAGTGTCTCCTCCCAAGCAGTTAAGACGACTATCAGTACCTGCACAATACAGTGCATGCGTGCTTGCAACTCCCTCCCTGCTTCCCAGAAAGACAGATGGGAAAGAAAGTGGCTCTGACAGCAGCTCTTTCCCGGTACCTTTCTCAGGGAAAGGAGAAGGATGCATCTGCGTTCATATACATGCTCAATAAATCCAGCGACTGTGGTGCCTGTGTGAAAGGACAGTACCTTACTCTGGGTCTAATGAACTGTCTTGGGGTGCTTCCAACAGCTTGCAGGCTAGAGCTGCAACGCACAGATGCAAGAGGTGCAAAACAAAGCTGTACCGACTGCTTTCATCCAGCCCTTGAGGCTGCAACCTTAACATTCTTCTGACGTACTTACTGGCTCTAATTCTGTTACAATATGAAACAAAAGTGCCAAAACCTCATCTCACCCTTCTTAAACTGGAATTCTCATTTTCTGACCAGCTCTAACAAGTGAGAAACTTCAGCTGTTATCACCATTAAGCCTGCTAAGGCGCTGTTTCCCTCCAGCTATCACATCTGCGATTGCTTTAGAAGACCTCTAAGACTAGCATTTAATATTAAAAAGCTTGGGAACTGAGGTGATACTACATGAGCAGCAAAATTCACGTGTGGGTAAGGGACAGGGCAGATGATTATTTTCCCCAGTTCACCTTTTGCTTATACTCCCCTCCGTCCGTGAGCATCCTTCCAGACTATGAAGTTTCTACTTCCTTTTCTGTGAAGTAAAAGGTTACGTAAAATAAGAGCGCTCTAACACATGGCTCACTTCTTTCTATAGCGCTCTTTAAAGACTTCATCTGAGCCAAACTTCATTATAAATTGACCTCATCAAGCTCCCAATAACATGAAACATACCATTTCAAGTTTTTGGTTTTTATGTTTTTTTGTTTAAAGGGGCAGGGAATGCACAGCAGACCTTTTCAGTCATTAATTCCTTTACTCCAGATCTCCGTTATACATAACCCTGTTGCCTTCCTAGCTAATGCTAGCATCCATTATATGCATGCTGTTTATCCTCTCCTTGAGACCGCCACGATTATAGCTTGCTACACTGGGGCAGCGTGCGTCAGGAAACAAGCAAAACCAGCTGCCGTGGTATCATTAATCTCAGTTTAAATTGGTGGTGACCCAGACACTTCACTTATTAATTTTAACTGGGGACGGGAGTCTGAAGTCTTACATTTTAAAAAAAGTTCAATTAGCAGAATTAGCAGTGAGGAGTCAGCAACTTCGTGAAACATCAGGGAACACGAGGCAATATATTAAATCCTCAGGTGAGGAAACGCTGTCGTTGTCTAAAGCTTGACTTCTGAGGCTGTGTAGCCTGCCTGTGAGCAGCCTGTGTAAACGGAGGCCAGGCTTAGCAAGCACACCAACTGTATTTTCCTAGAATTCTGATTATTAGCTGACCAAACTTCTTCAGTTACCTGACTGAAGACTTCAAACATTTCAGCTGCATGCCTAAAACATTTATGGAGCTGTATTCACCGCTCAGTTTATGAGTATACATCGAGAAAGGGTGTCAAGCTAGCGTATTTGATTACTTGATTGCAACAGCAGAGGAGATGATCTCTCTCAAGTGTGCAGCTAATGTAAATTATAAGACCTGATTTATGAAAATTATACTATGGAAAAAAGTGGATGTTGAATTCAGACTACCCAAAATGGATTTATACAAAATGAGCTTTCTAGCCAAAGTCTAACAAGGCCCTCACATTAAATACTGCACATGCAGTATTTAAAAACTCCTGCAGCTTTGTGCAAGATACAAACACACACATATATACATAGGTTCAATCCTAACTGAAGCACTTTTGCTAAAGAAAAGTGCTTTCCTTCCTGCTTGCACAAAGCCTGACCTTTACATCAGTTTTCAATACAGAACGAAACAGCTCCATCTTTTTTAGCTGCTGTAGTTGTTAGTTATGTCAGTGGACACAAGAACTAAACTGGCACATGTCCGGAGACGCAAAAGGAGGTAGACACCTCTAGGTTAAGCTCACAATTCCTTTTGTGCACGGCTGCAAGTTTTTAGCATTTTAGAAATTTTCTGAAATTGAAAGGCTTTTTCTGATTTGTCTCTTCCAGCTCACGTGACAATGTCCGCACACTGTCCTTCACTGAGGAGGCAGCAGTGCTAACAGGACCCCACCTGTGAGAGGCTTGTATTTGATGGGCAAAGGTGCAAGAGTCCAGAATAAAAGTAAAAACAAAAACAAAAAAGCACACTGCTGCAGATGTGGTAATTTAGGGCCTGTCAACTTTCACTCGCGGAAACATAAACCATGTACTCACTTTGGATGTCTGATGTCTGGAAGGGAACGATTCAGAGAAATTTTATCACTCACAAAGATATTAAAGCCATTTTCCCTGTATGCCTGGTCCACTCGCTCTGCATCAGTCATTGGATACGGTTTTCCCTGTTCTCCATTTCCTATGGATAGATACAAAGCAAACAAGCATCATTACTACTAATTGGTACTTAACTGGCCAGAAACTAACCCATACATTAAAAGGACAGCAGTCACCTTATAGTCTTTTGAAAAAATCCTCTACTGGTTTGGTACTCTAAGTGATAGGCAACATCGGGTCAACCATACCAACCCAGCAATTCTATTGGGTACGCAGGTTTGCGACAAACCACTCAGCTGTGCAAATCATACAAGCTAAAACTCCTCATACTAGGTAAGCGGGTGATGGCAAGACTGGGGAGGATGTATACAATGGTTTTTCATTCACAACAGCAGAATACACATGGTTTGAATTCTTCACCACCACTGCTTTCAGTGCAGATGGATAATGCATGCTTAACAACCTGAGCGCCTGTGGAGAGGAGGTAGAGCCTTTGCAGACACACCAGCGTAAAGCTGTCACATTCAGAAGGGTTGCCCTTTTGTATGACATAGGGCAGAAGCCAGGACTAGAATAAAAGCCATGCAAACGTCATCATCCAGAATGTTTTTCTCACACTTCTTCCTTCCTGGATCTCCCTGTCTCTCTCTTTTTTTTTTAATTTTATTTTATCAGAGGCACAGGCATACCTCTTTTTGTAAGCTTTTTAGAATCAATACTGCACCTATCCTAAAAGTACAAAGATTTTACCAACATCCTTTCATTCAAGATCGTTATTTTGGAGGCTTTAACTAACTGCAATAACTGCATCGTGGCAAGAACATTATCTTGACCCAGAAGCTGTTCTGCTCTCAGCCTTCCAAATAAAATCCAACTAACTTTCGATCTATATTGAGACATATTCATAGCAATCTTACATACCTACACGTTCGGAGTCTCTCCTTATGGCTTCTTTGTTATGCCAGTCCTTTTTTCTTTCTCCATCAACAAAGTAAGGATCTTTCTTTTGCCTCAGATATGATGCCTTTTAAACAAAAGATTGAGTATGTTAAAAAAAAGAAAAAAAGAAGAAGAAAAGAAAGAAAAACCCATACACGTGAAACCTTCCATTAATTCCCTCCCACACTTTAACCTACAAAAGGAGAGGAAGTATCTTAAGACTATCACAAGCAAGTAGTTTTTACCCTGAAAAGGATGAGGGAGAAAGCAAGTTTTGCTTGCCTCAGTACAGTACTTTAAGTGTTAAAGTAACAGCTGTTCAGAGATATTTTTCAGCGCACCATCATGTACTCAGGACCAATATTCTTCATCAGAAAATCTATTAAAAACTCCCATTTTCATTTTGAAAACATCTAATACACCTTACTTCCTACTTAATTAACAATAAAGATTTAATGAGACCTCTATTGCAGGATCACTATTTATGAAGATACTATTCCACCTGAATAAAATCAGAATAAGATTTAAATGTCATTTATTAAGACTTTTGCTGCTCAACTTAAAAGCAAATTTTACATGAGGCATGAGTCTGCACTGAACCCATTCAGAGTTCCTAAAATTCAAAAGCAATGGGTGCTTTGGGAGCAAGTTAGCAAATGAAAGATGAGGTGAATTCAGGAGCAAAGAGACTATAGTCTGCGGAAAGAAAGCCATGGTACATCTCTAAAACACTGTCCTTCCCAAAGTCCAGGGGAAATGGATACATATATATATATATTTTTTAAATAGGGAGTAGGAGCAAGCTGAGAATACCTTCTCTTAGAATGACTTTTCAATTACCTAGTAATATACTGGTAAGTATAAATACAAATCACTTGTAGTAGCCTGACTCTTGACACACAGAGCAAACTCCACAAGCTAGGACTTCCTAGAAAGAAAAAAGCTTCCTAGAAAGAAAAAAGCTTCCTTTCTCAGAGGACAAAAGGTTTCAAGTGTCACTCTAATGGGTCAATCAAACCAAACAATCAACAACAAACAGCAATGGTTGGCACAGTCAACTTGCAAGGTTATCAGACATATCTTTGGCATCTAGGATAGATTTCATTTGCTTGAATAGTTAAATTACAAGCTCATAATTTTCACGCCTAGATTTGTCTTGGAAAACAGGACATTTGGACATATTACTTGCTATTCCAAGAAATTAGTCTTGGTCTCGTGGAGCTCACCTCACTGCGGTCTGAGGGAGCAGCTCTCGCTGCGAAGGTTTAGGAGGTCCTTACCTTACCCCATCTGACCACCCCTTTTCCACACCAGGCAGCAGGAAGGGAACGCTCGCTCGCACCCTTCCTCCTCCAGCTCAAAGCCCTGTGCATCACCTTGCAAAACCATCAGCAAAGACAGGTTTCAGCTACGATGCCAAACTGACCTAGAGCACCTTTAAGCAGGGCATGTTCTGCTCCATTTACTCTGTTAAGGGTGGTAACCTTCAGCAAAGGAACTGTGCAAACACCCTGAGGCGTGCTGGTTGCATTAGCAGGCCAAAAGGTTGTAAGCTAAGCACTCTAAGAGTAACCCAGCTAGATCTCATTAAAACACTGTCCTGTACGCCGATAACACTTACTGAGTTGCTCTCATTTACTAGAAGATTTAAAATGACTCTAGATCCCTTCAAATGAAGGAAGACAAAGCGATTTATGCTCTGCTTCTCATCTTACCTGCAAGACATTTTGCAGATGGTGACATATCTGACAGCAGTCAGCTTTCATCCATGAAAGCAGACGCTCAATTACATATTTCAATTAACTAGTGTTGATACACAGAGCATTCTCCTTCCTGCAACTTAGTTTTATTTTTTGCTGAAGGAATGCTGACTGGCACTCGGAAGGGACAAAAATGCACACAGCTAGGATTCATAGCCTAAACAAACACCAGGGAACTTATGCTTAGGCCACCCAGAGCTAACAAGACACTCTCTGAAAATACTTATGATACAGAAACAGGGAGGGAGAGGAATTTCGGTTTGCACCAGAAGAGCGGACCTACACGATGGGACGTAAGTAACAGGGGTGGAATCCAGACGACTGCCAGTAAAGGGCTAGTTAGGCTGTTAAGGGTGGCAGGAAGGGACAGTTACACCCAACCCAGGAGGAGAGCGACTACCTCTAAGAAACATCCCAGCAGAATTGAATTTAGATGGCCTGGTAGACTTATTTTATCTACTCCACGATTCTTTAATCATCTTCATCTTCCTGTTCTTTTGTTCACCTGTTATCTGTATCAAAAATGATAGCTCATTTTTACTTTAATAATTATTGTCCCTTCCACCCATAAACTCTTCCTCTTATGAATGTTTGTTTCTGTTGACACACAGAAATTGGTAGTGCACTGTCCAGAATTTCACTTTGCACCTCTTAGGACACAAAATGAATATAGTCATCAGCAGTCTCATGTTTTCAATTCAGCTCTGCTCGCACGCATTGAAGAGCTGCATTTGCTGAGGGAAACAGGTTTCACAAGAGGCGCTGCAAAAGCCTTGCCTATTCCCAACATACAGAAACAGGTAAGCGCAGCTCTGGAAAAGCAGAGCTGCGGTGAAGAACTGCTCTCCCCCTTCCTGGGAGGGCTTCTGACCATACCTGAACCCAGCAGATATTTCAAACAAAATTGCTTAATCTGCTTTGTGATTTTCTAGATATCCCCTTAAACACCAATCCTATCAATTCTTACATGATTTCCAGATATATTACCTGCTGCTAAAAGCACATTTAAGTGTCAAAACAAATGTGTGAGCCTGGAACCAAACAGGTGAAAGGAAACAGTGGGAGGGTTTCAATAGCAGGTCAAACTGAACTAGCATATTAGGCAGCAGCTACTCTGGGAAGGGAAAAAAAAAAAAAAAAGCATAAAGGTAGGCTCTGGCTAATCTCAACAACGCAATCACAAAACACCTTGAAAAATTTACAAGATACGTACTAACACCAACCAGAACGCCAATGCCAGTCCAACCCCTAGAAGGTTACAACCACTTTTGCATAGTAGGTGCCAACGGGGAGCAAAAGATCAAACAACATCTCCTCCAAGCATGGTGTGAGATGCTTCCCTTCAGTGCACTGAGCCAGGACCAGGGCAGAAGGTGGGTTGTGGTGATGGGGACAGGCTAAACTTCAGCATCTATTGATGGTTTTATCTGACTAAATGCTCACTTGAATAGTTTATGCAGATAAGCTCTACCTGACTTTTGCTAGCTAGGGAGAGCTAATACGAGCAGGGACGAACGGCAACCGTGTGACAGGACAGAGCAGCAGTAGAACGGGGAGCTTGGTTATTTTTTGGCAGAAAGCTAACCAGGTTTTCAGCACAATGAAGCAGCCTCCTTGTCCTCCTGCCACGGTCAGCATTTGTCCGGCCCACCACAGTTGTTTCCAGTTTTTCAGACAGCATACTATTCCGTCATCCCCACTAAATAACTCACAGAACACACTACCGTTCTGTGGGATTTTGCTTCTGTTTCACAAGATTTCTACTTTGTCAGGTCTGCTCATGGGCTTGTTTCCTCTCCAGAATGCTTCCTTGCCAACAGAAGTCCTGGAAAGCTCTAGCAAACCAGACAGCTTCCTTGGCAGGAGCGCTTTGCTAGCTTCCGCAGCAATAGGCTTGTGCACAACGGTTACACCGGGCACAGGAGGAACAACTGGCCAATTCGAAACTTCAGTATTTTAAAACTCTTGTCTGCTGTTTATAGCACTCTGGACTGAGTCGGCACACCAGACAAGTCACTTACAAAGCTTCTTACCCATTTTACTGTTTGCTGTGATTCAATACTTGTTATAAAAACCCTTACTAACAGATACTCTAGAAATCTCATCCACTTAAGATGAGAGTATAATGGGACTGTCCAGGGCCTAGATCTGAGAAATGCATCATGCAGCTCAGAGCCTCGTGACTCCCACCCTGCACAAAGGAATCCAGCATCCTCTGCCAGCTATCCAGATTCCTATGAAGTGGCCAGGGAAATTAAGGCACAATGAAAATGGATCTTAAAAACCAAAGAGACGATCAAAAAAAACTTCCCCCCGCTCCCAAACACACCACATCAGTAAAAGAGACATCCAAAGCTGACTAATAAGGGAATGGTAAGGGCGTTTTTCCCCAACCTGCCTTGGGACTCAAGCAACTTAAATGAAAATAGCAGAGGGGTCTCCCTTTCCTGCAAATTCTAGCCTGAAAACATTCCTTAGAAGAAGACACCTGCTCACTGCTGTGGGCACTTGTGCAGATTGCTCTTCTCTTCAAACATGCCTAGAAGAAAAGGAGCTTCTTGAGCTCTCCCCCACAAAAGAGCTCTCAGGGGACAGGACACAAGTCCAAATTATACCCCAGAGGGTTCAGATGCACCTCTCCAGCCTCCTCTGGAGGAGGAGGCACCACGGGGCTGTTGGCTGTTTCAGGAGGGGCACGTCACTCCCTTGCATCAAAACTGCACCACAGGTCAGAAAGCATCCAACATTCATCAGGCCAAGGAGGAGCAGCCTAAAGCCATCAGAGAGCAGTTCTGCCCGTCCCTCCCCAGGGCGAGCGCCCCCAGGCACTGGGCTGGAGTCACCCTCGGGTTCATGCTCTCAGTATAAACTAACATGAATAGGGAAGTGAATTTTCTGCACAGCTTCAAGTCATTCTCTAGAGAGGTCAGCAATATAAATTTAAATACCCTCAGAGGAATGAGCCAAACACGCAATGTAAGCACGGAGATACCGAATGAAAGCAGGCAGCAGCACACCACCCTCCAGTTCTGTTAGAAAGCCCCACCGCGTTATCTCCAGGACCCAGCCCAGGCAGGGCACTGGACACAGGCTAGGGGAGAGCTATGTTACATCCCTCGGTCCTAAATAAACTCATACATGAAAAAGTCTTTGAGCTGAGCTAAGCTAAACCCTGTCGAGGCCATGTGTGTAATTTGCAAACTTTAAATCAAGGAAGCGAGGAAATGATGGAGTACAGACATCAGCGAGCGAGACCTTCCCAAACCGTAGCATTGGACTCGGAAGCACACAAAATATGAGTACGGCTAAGCCCTGGGTAGAACATGTTCTTAGGCTCTCTCCTGGAGACTTAAAGAATTGATTTTTCTTCATTTTAGCACTAGAAAAAAAAAAGAGAAAAAGAAAAAAGACCTCATGGGGTGACTCATTATCTGTTCCGTTGCCTGAAGTGCTTACAAAGTTACTGCCCTGTAGAACTGAAGCCAGACAGCAGATTCACAGGAGATAAACACAACATCCGTCTCCTTTAGAATGAAACACCTTTCTATAAGTACCATTTAAATCTTTAAGGCTAGACATGTCTACAG